CTGGGAGAAGCTGACTGCAATGATCAAACTCCCACAATCCAATGATCCAACGCTACTTTACCATGTCATCAAACGTAGTCTTTTTTTATTTTCATGTGAGAGACCCCCTAGTGGTGAAATTACATTTTGTACATTTAAGTCTTACATTCTCTTCACTGAGACCTGAGACCTAAGACCATAGCTTCTTGAAAGCTATAGTATTTACCAAGTACTGTTTGTGTATTTATGTGTCTGCATGAATGCTTACATTTGTCAGTGAGGATATTTTTACTAAGTAATTTAGGCCAAATTTCAAATCTTTCAGGGGTTACCTTGAGGTTACAGATTGGGCCAAAATTACGTTAAAACTTAGTTTGACATTAGGCCTTAATTCCGTAAGAGAGCAGCAGGGTGGACAGTATGATACACCCTCAAATATGTAAGTCTGTGATTAATTAGCATTCACACACATTTTCCAGAATTCCTCTGAACTCTGAAAAATGAGGACAGTCATGGTGATTGATCGAAACAGAGTTTCCCCGAGTAGAAAAAATTGTGTTGACTCAATAAAGCCAAAGTGGGTTCCAAAGACTGTTTCTGTGGGTGTCTAATGTGCTCTCTGTGCCACTTTATTAACTTCTCGCTGCGTGATTACTGACTGGTGCATATACAGTGAGTATGTGTTATCTGCGGATCCACAGCCAGACGTTGAGCAGGCAGGCGGAGAAAAGTAGTGAGAACAGAACAACTTCGGTATTCCTCCGCTCAACGCTGTGCCTTTCAAGTGCTGCCAGCCGGCGACTCATCTTCACCACCTACACAGTTAGGTGGACACAGACAGACAAGTGACAACATACAAAGCATAAAAATAAGAAGAAGAGTGACAGAGTGGAGACGGAGACAGATGAAGAGGCACACTGGCCTCTTTTACTGCCTACCTGTCTTCTGAGGATGATAAACTCGACAGCAGCTCCGCCCTCTTCTTCTGGACTCCAGCTCTCAATTGCCCTGAACAGACAGGAAGAAAGACAGACAGACAGAAGAATGAGACAACACGTATGAGGCCGAAGTACAGAAACCAAACTTAAATTCCCCTCCAGTCAGAAATCAGTGTTTCTTCTTGTCCCTACAGTGTGCTGTTTGAATGCTGTCTGTGCAGAGTTTGACACTAGAAGGATGTTTTCACATTAATCTGCTGAAAGTGGAAAGTTTCTCTGTGCTCATTGAAAATCAGATTTTAAGGGGCGGGGCCTACAAGCATGATTTGGTGACATCACAGACATTTGGAAGTCAATCACACTGTCATGTACAAATTGAAGCTATGTCTATATGTATATAGAAGTATGCGAATAATAGTATGACAGAAAATTAAAACCGGTATACCGGTTCATCTAGTATATTGCCTTGATACAGATCCACAAATTTATACTCTACTGACAACCTGACAAAACATATTCCTGAAAAGGTGCTATAAAAATAAAGTTATTATTATTATTACATTAAGGCTACTGCAACGTTTAAAGTGGCCCTATTTGGAGTTTCTGTATGTAAATGAGCTTGAACATGCGCACGCAGATGGGAGCAACAGGTGAGATTTATCATTGTTGATCCCATGTTGCAAGTTGTGCCTGCGCAATATTAAATGCCAATGTTCTTGTTAGCATGGAAAGCTTCTTCGCTCTATACAAGTGGCTGTGTTGCTGAGGGGCGAGGGGACTCTCTCTACTGGAACCTACCACGAATGAGCGTTTACACATATTTGATTGGACAACACAGTGCGTTCCCTGATTATGTCACATTGTATTCCTGCAAGAGCTGTGCCATGGTCAGCTTATTTGATGGACAATCCAGACAGTTTTTTCAGTGCTAATGTCAGCCTATACACAGCATGAACATTCATTCTGAACCATTAACTATTAATTGATCACTCATCTTTACTAGCAACCAGGGTGTTGCTTCACTTGAATTTAGTCCAGATGTTACAAACTTTCTTCTCACATGAAATTATGAGACTAAGATTCCACAGACTGCACCCCAGCAGCTGTTAAAGCTGCAGGGCAGAAACATGACTCCAAACCTTGGCTGAGTGGTAGTAGTTTTGACACAAACACACAGTTTTTCTTTCAGTCACCTTTTCTTGCTATGCTCCACGTGTGCTGCAGCAGGGACCTCGGTCATGACTCTGGCTGGTGGCAGCTTCTTTTGGTTGCTAAATCTTAAGTCCAATAAGACAGAAACAGAAACTGCAGTCTGGTGGGCCTTCAACAATATCACAGCTGGGACAGTGCACAGGTTTTAGTGGCTAGCAAGGGGCGATTTTAACTGCGAGATGTAAAAGGTAGTGGCAGATGCAGGAACCCTGGATGCCACTTTATATTAAAATAGGATGCAGCCCTCTGTTGACACCACTGAGCCAGATTAAACACATGACCAGTTAAAGCAAAGCAACTGCATACTGTCTTTTTCCACATGTGTTAGCCGGTTAGAAAAGATTATCTACAGATATTTGTGTAAGTAATTTAGCCAGCTTTATACCATGGTCTGGGTGAATTGCTGATGTAGGACACTTACTAAAACTGTCTGTTCACGGTTCTAAATGAATGCGCTGAAATAAACTGAATGAAAGCAAAATCTGAATATCTCATAAAAATATCTCACAACACTAGGTGTGGTCCATCTGTGCCTCATCCTCTGAACACCACAGCACGGAGACTGTTCTGCCTATGAGAAGATTTTCCTTGCTGCCACTTGTCGCCAAGTGCTTGCTCATGGTGGGAATTGTTGGATCTCTGTAAATACTTTTATGTACGTACGATGTGTGTTCTGAGACAACTTCTGTTATGATTTAGTGCTATACAAAAACAATTTAATTGAGTTAGATTCTTCTGATAAGTGACCATGGTATAAGCGCGATAATGCCCTTCGAGGTGTCCATAATCAGGTTATTAATTTCTGATGATGGACACCTCGTTGGGCATTATCTTAAAATATCGCCCAATACAAGAAATATTACTTTAAATACATATTAGGTAACAGCTGTGTCTGTGGATCCCTGCCAAATTTCAAAGAAACTAAGTGTTGTAGGTGGCAAGAAGAGAGACATTAGGTAAAGAAAAGCCACAGAGTTCGGTCTAGACCTGCTCT